GGGGGGCGGGGGGGGGGGTTGGGGGTGTTTAAGTAATTCTCAGGCCTAAAAATGTGGATCTTGACATGTGTGAGGGTATATGTTACGTATTAAAAATATATCTTTGGCAATCATTTGAAGGAATTAATGGCTCATACCAAAAAGTCAACAATGCTATCTTAACTTGACAGGTCTGCTGCTTTCAGAAAAGTATATAATTTAGGAGTTATCGAATGATCTTTCAAGTCTGTAATGTGTGTTTCATCGGCATGTGGAATGGACAAATGAAGAGACCCAGATCTGTAAAAGGCTTTCACTAACGGCATTAAAAAGAAAAGCAAACAGAGATTAATGATGAAACACAGCAAAAGGCAAACAGACCTGTTGAAGGTGGGCTCTGAATAATGTCAGAAAGGTTGTATCCTCCAGAGCTGTCCAAACGTTTCCTTGGTTTCTTTTTGGCTTTAGTTTTAGTTTTTTTGAAAACTGTTTCTCTAAGAACAGACAGAATTATTTTAAAAATATGTTTACAGTCCACCATAATCATTGCTTTTGCCTTCATACAGGAAGATTATGTTTACAAGACCCCACAATAAACATGCCAGCTGCAATAAACTGTCTGAACCAGGCCACACAACTGATTTAAAACACTTTAATTATAGACGACTAGAACAGAAAACTGTAACTGTAAAAATAAAAGGGCACTTTGAAACAATGAACAGCTGCATGCTGGAAAAATAACCAGGGCTGGGTGTTTGATATAAAAAGTTTTTGTCCAACCAAAACTTTTTTTACTTGGTTTTGGAAAGAATGGGGAGAGATTGGAACTTGTGTAAAATAACAGAACAATGTTTGGGAACTTGAAGTGAACCTGTGTCCCGGTTATGCGCCTTCAAGTATTTTCATAGAGAGCTCTTCCTAAAAGAGCTTTAAAACAAGCCCTCACTGACCTCTGTAGCTGCAGGCACTGTGGAGCAATTAATCAGTTCACAGCAGAAGCAACAAAGTCATTCAAGTCATTCTCTCAGCAGCTCAGTTTACCCTGCTCTGCCAGCCTACCAATTTCTAATGCAAACACAGAGCAGGAGCACTGATAGGGGGGAGCAGGAGGAGATGAGCAGCTTAGACAACCGGCTTGAATGACTTCAGTGCTTTTGCTGTGAATTTGAAAATGCTTTGCTCCACAGTGCCTGCAGCTATAGGTCAGTGAGGGCCTAAAAGCTAAATTACTGCTTAAGGATATGTAAATACTTGAATGACTATAGTCTGGTCACAGGGTACTCAGCAACAGCAAAGACAGGCAAGATCAGATGATCACTACCCGAATATCACTAACATGGGAAACAGGATAAGTCTTGATACAAGTTAATGCAACAATATAAAATCTCAAGATGTACAAAAAAGGGGGGAAAAAAAATAATGTTGTTGTTTAATCAGCGATTGTCATGCAACCGAACCTAATTACAAGGGCTACCAGCCACTGAAAGGGATACACCATCAGTGGCACCAAAGGTTTTTGCTCAGAGTCAGATATTCTTGTGTGAAAAGCTAATACATCTGTAGGAAAAGTGACACTGTAGAAGAGCTACAAATTAGATTTGACATCTGGCAATCTAATTTAAAGTGTGTATAGTGTGTGCGTATATATATATATATAGGGGCTGCGGAAATTAACGATTAATTCCTCGATTAATCGTTAATTTTTTGGATCGATCAAAATTCTTTTGATCGGTACTCACCTCTACGCCGGCTTCCGGGTCTTCCGGGAGTTCAGTTGGAGATCCGGTGACGTCACGGACATAGACGTCACCGGACTCCTCCCCCCTTCCCCAAGTGGCTCCGTTTGCTAACGAAGGGAAGGGGGAGGAGTCCGCTGATGTCCGTGACGTCACCAGACTCCTCCCCCCCTTTCCTCTCTACAGCACGGGGGCCTCTCCACGGAGACTCGCATCACGGGGGCCTCTGTACGGAGACTCACAATACGGGGACCTTTCTACAACACAGGGGCCTCTCTATGGAGACTCGCAACACGGGGGCTAAAAAGAAAAAAAAAAAAAACTTCCATTAATCTGCATAGAGTACAGCTAGTGTTAGAAACCAAGTTTGTTAGAATCCATTCCAACCAACCAATGTTTGAATCCATTCAGGTCTGCTTAAATAGCTGCCCCCTCCGCTGCAGATGCCTTACGCTCCATATCATTAAATAACATGTACTCGGGGCAGCAGGTACCCCTTGTGCTCTCTGCCCCTGCCGCACACCTCATCGTTTTGTTGCATGTTTCCTGAAGCACAATGACGCTCAACAAGAAGAATCACAAATATTTTCAGTGGTGCCCATTTACACCTAAGCTTTATATCCATTGTAGCTTGAAGATGGAATAGGTACATGAGCTTCTAGGGCAGTTCTTGACCCCATAGATTTTAAAAGGAGTGCACAATTTTTGCACCTAACAAGTGTCTGGTCCTGCTATTAACTAGCTATCAATTGGTTAAAAAAAAAAGTGCACTCAATTAGATAGAGATAGAGATAGAGATAGAGATAGAGATAGAGATAGAGATAGAGATAGAGATAGAGATAGAGATAGAGATAGAGATAGAGATAGAGATAGAGATAGAGATAGAGATAGAGATAGAGATAGAGATAGAGATAGAGATAGAGATAGAGATAGAGATAGAGATAGAGATAGAGATAGAGATAGAGATAGAGATAGAGATAGAGATAGAGATAGAGATAGAGATAGAGATAGAGATAGAGATAGAGATAGAGATAGAGATAGAGATAGAGATAGAGATAGAGATAGAGATAGAGATAGAGATAGAGATAGAGATAGAGATAGAGATAGAGATAGAGAAAGTTTACTGGATTAAGGGAAAATTAGTGAAATGAATGAGTGAAACAAATACATGGTCTCAACCAATTAGATCAAATCCCTAACTGGAATACAGGTGTGTTGCAGAGTAGCCACCACTCCAAGCTCACATTTATTTTACTCATTTGTATTGAGATTGTAGTCCATAACAGGAGTGAGCTTGGAGTGGTGGCTACTTTACAACACACACAGGAACTATGGGGAAGAAATGTAGCCAGAAGGAAGGACAGTGTCAGCACCAATTCAGAGATGATTTGAGGATCTACAGCTGAGTGATACACAAATAAGTTACATTTTGGTTAATAGGTACAGTACTTGAATGCATTTTTAAGGTTTAACTCCTGTGTTTAGTGTCACTTTAAGTTGGCCGTACATGCTACAAGTTGCATCCCCGCTGCTAAATACCTGAACACTGCCTGCATCTGGCTGGATACCGGCGCCGTTTGGCCAATAATTTTAAGACCAGCTCCTTACACAAATTTGATTAAAAACAAAAAATCGACTTTGCAAGCAAAGGGGTGCCAACAGGGGCCACCCACAGCAGGAGTCGGATGAAAAGCGAGCAGTATAAGGCCAACTTTAGAATCTGATCAACTGGTACAGTATACAGCAACACCTATGGTTCTCCCATATTTCATAATGTTATTAAAAAGACCAGGAAGACGAGCTTACGGGGTGGCTTGTTCAGAAAAACTGTCCTCCCTGATGGACATGAAACTTTCAATGTCTTCTGTCTCTAAAGTGCTGATGTCAGGACCATCCAAATATGGGGTAAGGAGTCTCTTGTCCATGGCAGGAATCTGTGTTTAAGATTAGAAGAAAAAGAGACAAAAGGGAGAATTAAAGAAAACAGTGAGATATCAGTGCACAGCACTGACACTGGAATCAGGACAAAGTGATTAGGACAAAACAAAAAGCAGTTAAAGTCAAAAAGTCCTTAGGCTATGTCAAATGCTGATTAAATCTCTTACAATGTATGCTGCTTCTTTATGTTTAAGTGTTAGTTTCTTAGGAATCAGCTGGTCCCCTGAGCATTGGCCCTGATACACTGTTTACGGGTGGCTCCTTTACCTTGGAGCCACCCATGTGTGTGCAAGTAAGCTGTGTGTATGTCCACAAACACACAGAAACAGCAAGGCAATCCACTTCTCTGCTCCCCCCTCTTCCAAGCTAGTAGATGTACAGTTGCTGGAGACTGCTCTGTCCCTTGTGATCTTGTACTGCACAGGAATTTCAGGGAAGAGGGGCATAGAGAGTTGGAGCCAGCTGTTCAGAAACATGATGACTAAGTACTATTTTAACTCTGCATCCACTTCATGTGTTGGTGTAGCCGCAGGCAATATAGTGATGTAAGGGGATGCAGCCCCAAAGCAAATGAACACTGCGGTCAATATTAAATTTAACATAGGGCAGGAAAAAGCGGAGGACTCACACTAGGACATGAAGTGAATGCTCTCTTTTGGCATTCAAATAACAACCCTCATATATTTTGTTCCTGGCATTCATACAACCTGGAAAACATACTCCCTGCTACTAACCCCTCCAATACCTGTGCCGCCACCACCATCATCATGGGTGTTCGTTGCTTTTATCCTGCAAGTCATTTAGAACCGCAGTTTATCCCAGTTTCAATTAAAGTGGGACTATAATTGTACATGGTACATTAAGTAAAAACTTTACAAATGGCTGGATTTGATACCTCACATTTATCATGTTCTTGCAGTAAAAATGATGTGCCAAATCCAATGAAATTTTATTGCTACCTTGCAATTTCGCCGCCTGAGGTGGGAACGCGCACACGCCCTGGGGGGCCGGGGGTAGTGCATGGGGCGTGATGCACGCTAATGACGGTTGGTGGCCTCTGCATCATCTCACTGGTTGCTAAGAGCTGGGAAGGACGCTGGCCAGAGCATCCCGGGTTTCTAGGAGCTGGACAGGGAGATGTGTTAGGGCAATACACATCTCCATCTCCCCGCCCCGCTCTTAGCAACCTGGGATGCTTTGGCCGGAAAGGGGGCAGCAGGCACGCTGCAAACATTGTGCAGCAGAGCAGCCATGCTGCTTTGCCCAGCCACTCCCACGTGACTCAATGAGATGCCGCCTGAGGCAACAGCCTCGTGTTGCCTCACTATAGGGATGGCCCTGATTGCTACCAAATGCTGATCTGCTATCCGGTATTCCCAGTATTGAATGGGATGCAGCAGTAGACTCCAAGTGGTAGCATAAAAACGACAATAACTTTCAGAGAAGATCACATGAAAAATCCACTCTACTCTGTACTATAACTGCTAACCCACATGTACCCTGTGCCATGTGGGCAAGATTAAAGTAGAGGCCATCATAAATAACTATCATAAATAATGATTGCACTGGTGTCAGATACGGAGACGTAACTCTCACAGAAAAGGTTAGGATTTTAGCATTTTTATAACAATAACTTTTGCTCTTTCACAGCAGTATTATGGACATGACTTGCTACATACCCATCCCGATCAAGGCACCCCTATGGTGCTAGTAAATGTACACATATGTGGCCAAGACGCATAACATTAACTGTCATCTGCCAACATGCTTAAAAGCAAAGTACTACACACTAACAGTTTCATGTTCTGACTAGGTTTACCCCCTTACCCCGAATGGAGAAAATAAAAGTTCCATCAGCCAGCATGGAAGAGTGACTTGTAGTTTCAACGAAATGCAAAGTGATGTGACATCTATTGACACTTCCTCCCATCCATGTTACTGTATGTCTGTGCTAAAGTACCGTCATGGGAGGAACAATCAGCAAGAGCCAAAACATTGCATCCACGATCTACTGATCGCAATTGCAATGCTTTACTGGCTCCTATGCAAAAAAATAATAAATGCACTTTTCTTTTTCCTTTTAAGAAGTGTGCATTTATTATTTTTATGCAAAAGGTGGAATCTCCCTTTAAAAGGCTGAGAACACAAGCACCACTATCACACAGCTATTCATTATACTTTAAAAGCAACAGAAAAAAAATATTAGATCCATCCTAAATGCAATGCACAGAGAATATTTCCGCGCTGACGCAAAACTACACCTCTACTTTTCTCCTTACCATTTTTCTATAAGAATCTGCCAGGTCTTTCAGGACATCATCACTCAAAACATCCAATGACCTAAGCAAAGAAAAGCTAATTACCATAACAGCAAAAGCATGTTTCGACTGAAGTACATATTGTTTATATCTTATAGTTCAGTCTCTAATTAATGTGATCTGCATCCATCTGTAAATCATAAGCACACACTTGACTGCACTATGAAGAGGCAGAGTGGGCTTTCCATTAGCACACATTCATAAGAGCGCCGTTGTGTGCGGATGTGCTTTTTTTCAATACCTTGCCTTTCAGGACGCAGAAAAAGCTTTTCCATGAAAAGTACAGGACTGCACTAGAAAGCAATTTGAAATAATGGCATTTAGAAAAACAATGAAGACGTGATCGTATATATACCTTGCTTCCAACAAAGCTGCCATATTCAGTCCTATAAACTGGAAACAGGAAAGCTTCAGCTGATTGGCATTGTACAAAGCAGCAAACTCCAATAACTCAGCAGCATTTTTCAGGGTAACTAGTGTAAAAAAAGAAATGTTATTATTCGCCATACATGTGGGTAAAACTGTAATGTTCATAAATTATCAAGCAGAACGCCAAGGAAATAATAACACTCTTTAATTCAAAGATTAGTTAAAATCATTAATAGTATATTTACATATAGCTAAGGTACATACCTGCATTTGTTTCTATATTAGCTCTCAGTAATCCCCTGTACAGCAGTAGAGAGAGTCAGCACTCTGATCTAATCAGTACTCTACTGCATTTCACAGTACTGTCAGTCTAACACTGTCAATATCATTATGTTTCTGCTCCTTCTTTGTCTATCAGCAGGCTTAAGGTGCGGATGGCTTAAAATGTGTTCCATGCAACTATAAGTAAGGTAGGCAATATATGTGGGATGTAATTTTAAAGCTGAACGCCAGGAAAAATCTATTTTTAAAAGTAGATTGCGTCACCTCTAACCATTCACATGTAACATCTGAAGGGCTGCAGGGGATGCTCAAATTTTCATTTGTAGTTCATGTTACATGCTGTATGTCCATTGATTTTCAGGCGGTGCTGCATTAATTTCTTATCTCTTACAATGAGTGTAGAGAGTTGCCCGCTGCCACCTTCTCCATTTAGTAAAGCCCTGTATTCTTTTCAATTGATACACGGCGCTCCTTGATTGGACAAGGTGGAGAGGAGAGACATCACGATCCACCGTTGTCCAATCAGAGAATATCTTGTATTCATTTAAGAATACAGGACGTTTCTAGAATGGAGAAGATACCAAGCGAGCAACTCTCTATGCTTAATGTAAGAGATGAGAAGTTGGTGCAGCATCACCAGAAGATCTTTTTTTTTTTTTAACTTTTTTGTTTACACTTACCTTGATTCTTATCACATAGGGGCTAAAAGTCCGCCTACGTGATAGCCAATATACAATGACAGTTCCTCTTTATGGAGACATCAGGGGATTCTAAGAAAGAGATCTGCTTCATCAGCTTCTTCTCTGGCTATAGCAGCCAGAGAAATGACAGCTAAAGGCGGAAGTGATGTAATACACAGCACTTTTGCCATGAAAGACAGAGGAGGAGAGATCAGCGGTGGGGGAATGCTGAGCTCTCCTCCTCAGTAATAGTGACGGTGTTCTCGGTCCCGGACCTGCAGGGGGGCAGTGGAGCCTGGAATAACCATCAGCAAAGGGGGTGCGCACTGTGCGTGGCCATACAAGCGATCAGCCGGCTGTAGAACGCTTGTATGTAACGGCTGTTTACATTCGCGGTGGGACTCTGCTGCTAGCGGGTGCGAGCAGGAAAAATAAAAAATCATGTACATGTACATCCACCTGCCAGGAAGCATTCGCCGTCTGCCCTTGTTTTGACAATGGGCGGACGGCAAGTGGTTAAAGTAATGCGATGTGAAAGGGCCAAGTAACAAATATGAAGCAGGTGTTATACCAATTTAGACCTAAAAATATTAATACACAGTAAAATCTAGAGAATATCATTTTGGCCTAGAGTCCTACTTTAAAGAACCCGACATCACGGGCATTTGTAATCAAAGTGTATAAATGATGTGACTTCTGATTATTTACTTTTATGCGCGCCATGTCAGAAGACAAGTGTCAGGCTGCAAGGGCATCCTGTCACCTGCATAAGTTCAGTGCTGATAACAGACACTCAAAACAACTCCATATAACAAAAGGTGCTGCCAGGATTACATGAAAAGAAAGGCCTTGGTAATGCACAGCTTTGCCTGCCTCCTGCAGCTTGGAAAGAGTATCAGATTGTTACAAACGTCTGTTTCTATTTCTGACTGTTTCTCTTCAATCTCAAAAAAGTTATAGTAGCGGAGGATCTTCAGCAATGCACACCAGAACTCCTACTAAAACGGACTTTCTCCAGATAAGAAACTGAGCTATAGGTGTATAGGGTACAGTTTACCAATTTTATAGTCTACCACAAAGGGTGACCAAAAGCTAAATCTAGGTTCACACCTAAGCAAATATGACCACACGCACATTGATTAGCGTTTTTTACCCATCACCGTGCGCTGCTTAAGGCCTCATTCACACTTCCGCGCATATACGCGCGTACGTGCGTATTGTACCATATGCAACACATGCAAATAAATGGCTCCATACACATAGCCGCGCATGGAGCCGTATATTTGCGTAGCGTATATATGCGCAAAAACAGAATGGAACAGAGATGCGTCCGGACAGCGTATTGCTGCGTATTTACGCGCACATACGCGTATATACGCGCGTACATGCACACAGCACATTAAAAATTCCATTACGACTGATGCAATCTGGGATTGCATATAGTGCACGCATATACGCTCCTATATACGCCCATGGACGCTCCTATATACGCAATATACAATTTTGCTTGCGTTGTGTGTGAATGAGGCCTTAGGGATGCCCATTAATTTCAAATTGCACCAAAGAAATGTGTGCAGGTTTTTTTTTTCCAAAGCGCATTGCACCAAAACACATGGTACTTGGTTATCAAGCATCCTGGTGTCAGTGTGAACAAACAGAGCGGGCACCCAATGAGTGGCTGCTATCCGAATACAAAAGAAACAGCAGGAATTCCTCGATCAACACTCGTCTAACGTTGATGGAGGAATCTGGGCTATTTTTTTTTTTTTTCCGTTTAGCCTGCGGGTTCTATGGCCACCATACAAGTACAGACATGCTGTGATATCAGGCCATAAAACCAATGTCAAAGACTGTTATCTGCCAGTAATAACAGACAGGTTAAAAAAAAGAGCCTCACACCTAGAAGGTATTGCCGTAATCTTCCACTATTATACAGCAGAAGACTCCAAAAGATCCCTGTTCAAACAGTGACTTGTCTTATCAATATGTACCCAGTTTTATTTGTGCAGCTTTGCAAATAAATACCTTTCTTCTCCCATACTGTAAATGTCACAGAGATCACAAATAGAGCAGTGTTTACATTGGGAGCATCGATGTGACTCTAAGAGCACTGCTTTAATATTTGCCAAGCAGTGTACAACACAAGAGTCATCTTTTATCACGTTTCCACCCAGCTGGCCAGCGCACGGTTCTCGGTAAATGAGGTGTGGCCACAGTCATTCCGAGGCGTTACTCTTCATCCACCTACAATCTGTGTAAGCATTATGAATAATGGAGCTTACCAGCTGCTATACCAGGAAATAAACAGCATATAACCTTCCTCAAACACTACTGCTCTTCTACTTACGTCTCTCAGTAAGTGTGACCTCGCATATCTCCTTCAATCTAATGATAAGTAGCTGATCAGCCATTACTAGGACATTGCATATAAACTCCACGTTTGCAGACTCTGGAAGGAAAGTGTATATAATAAATTCAATGAGCAAAATGCAACTTCTCAAGATATTATAATGAGAACTAATACAAGTACTGTACAGATAATGGAAGTCTCTTCTGAGTGTCCTTATCCTGGTTCAATGGCAAGTACTGTGAGTAGTTTATTTGCTTACATTGCATATATTCTTAAGCTGGTCATACACTGCTTGAATTTGGCCCGAGTCCCTGGCCAAAAAAAAAAGGGTCCCTTTTTATGCGGCTTTCTGATCAGATCCTCCTGTCAGTGTTTAAGGCGGATCTGATCAGAAACCCAATGTAACTCTATGGGCAGCCAGATGTGCATCGGTTTATATCCGATTACCTCCGAGTCTGTCTAGGCCGACCACCTAAAACTTAAAGAAAAGCTGTGGTTTGCATAGGTAGGGCAAAACAGGTATGCTTTAATGTCCACTTACACAGAACCACATACTTACCTTTCCATTGCTCCCCTGCCACTCAAGTTCAGATGTTGGCAGCAAGGACACTAACCTCTAAAGTACTCAGAGATTACACAGGACTGTGGAGTGTCTCTCCAACCCAAGTGACAGTGCTCAGCAAACCACTTCTGCGATCACAAGATGAAGGGACTGAACAAAGTGGTAGTGGAATGAAGGAAAGAGAGTATGTGCTACAATGGACGGGGACATTAGATAGAAAGTGTTGATTTGCTTTGTGCTCAGGAGACCAGCTGATTCTGCAGGATACTAAAATTTGGAAACATCAAGGAGCAGCATTGTAAGTGATTGTACCAGCATTTAAAAAAAGCTTAAAAACATTATGGCTTCAATATCACTGTAGATTTCACGAAAAACCCATGTCACCATATATTCATGCAGTCGCAGACAGAGGATTTAGACCTGTGACTCGCAGTAAGGGTCACGATACACAATACAATCTGATCGTATAATCAACTTCAGGTCGGTCCTCCTATTGCATAGTTTTGGGAAATCTAATCTACTGAAGTAGAATAGCAAAGGATCAGACCAGGCAAAATCTTTATTTAGCCAAGTTTAATGATCAATGCTGCAGCTGGGAACAAGCAACAGCCAGGTTGAAAAACAGAGGCTCTCAGGCCCCTTTTATTAAGAAATGTTACAATAGAACCATATGGGCTACAATATAATTGGCTGCCAAGGCCTACATCACTAAGGCCCCATTCACACACAAATCGGCCTGCACATGCAGCTCCGTGCAAGGCCGTACCAAGTAGCTGCCGGGAAGGACAGGGGCTGCGTTTGATTAGTACGCAGCCCCCGCCCTTCGCTATGGGGCTACGCGGCCGTACGCCCCCCTACACTAACCTCAATTGCAGGTCCATAGGGGTGCAGGTTTTCTGGCTGGGACACATACAGAATCCATTCCGGCGGCGTATGAATACGATCACCCGCACCCCTACGGACCTGCAATTGAGGTGAGTGTAGGGGGGCGTACGGCCGCGTAGCCCCATAGAGAAGGACGGGGGCTGCGTACTAAATCACACGAAGCCCCTGTCCTTCCCGGCAGCTACTTGGTACGGCCCCGCACGCAGCATGGAGCTGTACGTGCAGGCCGATTTGTGTGCGAATGGGGCCTAACTGACAATAAATCTGACATTTCTGCAGGCAGTGTGTCTCCTAAGTTGATCTAGACCCTTCCATATGAATTCTGTCTCCGCTCCTGGACTGAAACGTGCAGAATGCGTCTTGTATGCTCTTGGGATTCATCTAAAGTTTATTTGATCTTTAGTTAATGTAAAAATTGCACTACACTAACCAATTAGAGCAAGTGAAATGACAGATACAGAAACTGATATCAATAACTGGCTTGGTGTATAAAGCAACTGACGAACACTACATAAAAGTGACAGAATGGGTAGTAGTGTTTACAGAATTCTTCAAAAAAAATTCTTATATGATTGATTAAATAATTCATAAAAACTGTTTGGATGTGATCAACCAACTAGGACCTAGGTGTTGCAGTCTTATAAACTGCTGTCTGATCTTTCACCTTATATGATGAAAAATGTGTTCTTCTATGTGTAGCCTCAGACACATAGGAAATATGATAGCACACTTACCTTTTACTCTAGGAGCTTCATCGGTGTAGATATACTCAATAATAACCTGCAATACATCCGAGTGGACGGGCATTTCTAGAGCTGTACAGCAGGATGCCTGTTACAAAGAAACATTTAAATGATAGGAGTTCATTAACCACAAGGACTTTCTATTTCCTAACTGTATTTACCCTATCCTAACTATCTACTATATATTTCAAATCATAAACACTGCTTGCTTTCTTGTTGTACAGCACTCATTTAGTTATGTTGCCTTCTCCATTTGGCTACGTGAAAGGTGTCACTGGATGTAATTTTGTTCATAAGGCCTCGTTCAAACAGACAGCAAGTAGTAAAAAGATGGGGAGATTCCCGTTTATACCACCCTTCCTGCCCAGCCACCTGTAAAGTCTGGCAGGCAGTGCTGCATGTCAAACGCGACCATTACAATCAATCAATGGGACCATGCCACAAGCGTGTATCCACATATTGCAACTGAAAATCCCCATTAGTATTTAAAATGAAAAAAAATATATATATATTTCCTCATTCGGGAGGTGACAGTATGCCCTCCTGAACCCCAGGCAACTTGTTGCTTTACCACCCTCTTTAAAGCAATCCACCACAGATCGCTTTTCAGAGGGGCGGTGGAGCCACCAATCTGAATGAGGCCTGGACCGGACATGCCCCCAAATCTCTAGATGGGCTAATGCCCTAAGCTTTTAACAATAACTGTAAAAATCAACCCCGATTTCTTCTACATGAATAATTAAAACGTTCACTGTACCTCAATCCAAGGGTTGCCAAGCATGGAGTGAAAGTATTCTATGAGAATGAAAGCAAAGAGTCAGAACAGAAAGCATTGGATAATGTAAACAGAATTAATATAGTTCTGCACACAAGTATAACACATACCAAGCCTGGCACAAAGAACACATTTATGGCAGTTAAATTCTTTTCCATCCTCTGATCTCATTGTTACATCACACAACGAGGTACTGCAAAATAAAAACACAAATTCAATTGAAATTAAATATATAGTGTGATTATAAAGTACAGAAGTAACCCCTAGGGCTGCAACAACCTACAGAGTGCACAGAACCATTGCCAGAATATGGACAGCCTCAATCTCATCAGGAGGCAAAGCAGAGAGTCTCTCAAGCGATGTTTTTGAAAAATTTACTACGCAACAAATCAACTCAAAGGATTGGGAACCCATTGATAGAGAAATGCCTTGCTTGTCATTTTGATAGATTGTCCGTCATGCTGTAATCTCTCTTGACAAAGCTAGGAGAGCTATAGTTCATATACAATGGAGATACCATAAATTATTATGGGCTTATGCTGTAAACCATGGGTCCTCATACTGCGGCCCGCATGCCCCTTGCCATAGGCGTCAGGGCCAGATTAACGTAGGGGCTGAGGGAACTGCAGCTCCAGGCCCCTAACTTAAAATAGGCCCAGCCACCCTAAACAACATATAGCAATCAATCGGCCGGCCGCCGGCGGGGTTTGGGGAGAGATCGCCATTCTGCCGGTCCCACCTGGGTGTTGGGGAAGAGACACAGGCCGTTCCGGAAGCCTGACAGCTTGTGTGTCCGGCCTGCGTGGCTACGCCCTTTCATCTCAGGACGCAGGCCGAGGCACGGGACGTACGAAAGCATGGCAAATCAAATGCCAGGCTTCCTTGAGCAGCGTAATGCCAGGGCGACTGCGCCGCTCCAACTTTGGGCGCACGCCAGCACAGGCTCCTGGAGGGCGGCCGATAAGAAGAGAGCTGGGATATGACGTGATGTAATTTTCCTGCCTCTACAAAAGCTGCACGCCGCCATCGAGAGGTAAGACAGGGCAGCTTACATGCCCATTCATTTTTATAAATAACAAATACTTGAGCTGTACAAAATAATAACAAATCATGCTGGTACATGTCCCAGGCTAAGAAAAATTAATTGTATTAAAAAAATGTTTTCTTGATTAAAGAAGTTGCTAAAAATATTTCTATATACCATCTAAGAGCTTATTCACACCAATTGAGGTGCGTTCAAAAACGGCAGCTGTTGGAACGCACAGCAATCGCTCACTAAAGTTCCCCCTTTGTTCTGGGACGGGAGGGGGCATGGCGGTGCATTGAAGTCAATGGCACCACAGCCACCCCCCCCCATTTTTCAAACTAGGTACCATAGAGTAAATATGTCATTAACTACATACCATTTCTTTTGGTTAAATCTTTGCTTGTTCCCACTTTTCTTGTTTACAACATTAATTGCTCCATTTTCATATCGAACGCCATCCAGCCTAGAACACAAAATGTAACATTAGAATAGTAGGCATCCAGTGATTATCATCTGACCTTAAAATCCTCTCAATTAATGATAACAGGGAGATGACAAAGACTTAAAAGGAGAACTACGGGGTCAGTGTTTTTCCCCATAGTTCTCCTCAAGGTCACGGGAGGCCATAAACTAGCATCCTCCCATCACCCAAAGCTCAGTATATTGCGAGCTACAGCTCACGGTATACTGAGGCCGCCGCAGGCGGGACGCATCCCGACATTACTGTCGAGATCCACCCAGCTGCGTGATTGACAGCTGGCTCTGCCCATCTAGAGGCAGAGCCAGCTGTACCCGCACCCTCGCCCGTCCGTTCCGACAGTCAGCGCTGGAGGATCGGAAAAGAGAATGGGGGAATCCCTGCGGGAGCCGTGAGTGACAGTCACGGCTCTCTGCAGGGACATGATCGAGGAGTGAGCGAGCAACGGTATGTGTTCGCTCACTTCCCGATCTATTGAGCCGACGTGTGACAGTCTCATTGTCACACGTCGGCTCGAACTATGAGGTTGAGTGAAAATCACTCACCTCATAGTTCCCCTTTAAAGATTATTTCATATACTTGGTACCTGCAAATTATTTATTACAGGTCCGCTGGGAGAAAGACAGCGCAGGAAGCTTTGTCAGCTTTTACAGAATCGCCCTGACAGACTCACTAACCCCTGGGTGTTCGTAAACCAATGATGGTATCAAAGGAGGGCCCACATGTGCCCAAAACACTAGTTTGATATGCTTAAACTGAATATTAGAGTTGGGCAGGTTTACCATTGACTTTGTTAAACATTATTTAAATTTGCACATCCGAGTGCCTCAGGCTTCAGGTGTCCCACAGTGCTGGAAAAAGGCATTCAATGGTATGTACATAGTCATCTGAGGTTATTGCTGCTAAGTAATTAAAAGGTTTTCTAAAGTAGTAAAACAACTAGGACCAAAACACATATTTACGCTGTAGTAATGTGTAGGTTATCACAACGCATGTCATTTTTAATGGCACCACAACATAGTAAAGCAACGCAGCTCCAATGCACACGTGCTACAGCACTGTGTGTTCTGGTGTGCTAAAAAATGGTGCATGTAATTTTGTGCTGCGTTGTCAGCCCCTTACTGAATGTTTTGCCTTAAAGAAGAACTCCAGAAAAAAAAATTTATTAACCCTTGCAGTGGGGCTGCCCCTGTACTGCAAGGGTTAAGTGTTCATTTTTGTCTAGGTTAAAAAAATGTTATACTCACCCAATGTTCTGGACCAGCTTTTTTCTTGTTTCCCAGAGCCTCTCTCCTTCTCCTCTACAGCGGTCTAAGCTCTTATAAATCATCATGCACAGTGTAGAGACGTGAGGATGCTGAGGAAGTTTACAATGCTGCTGTAGAGGAGGAGAGAGGCTGGAGAGAGCGCTGTAACAGTTGGCCAACTCTGAGCTTCGGGTAAGTATAACTTTTTTATTTTAGCACCTGGACAAAGATGAGCACTTAACCCTTTCAGTGTGTAAATATATATATATATATATACACACACACACATACACACATATATACAAACATATATTTATTACATCTCTCGTTTCTTTAGATTAGGCCTTTGGGCAGACTACAAGCTATTCTGAAGAATTTAAAAAGAAATTGGCGGGACAAAGTGGGGTTTCCCTCAGTAGCATACAATGCACCACCCAAGCCTCAAGATCTTTAACCCTTTGGTAGGACAGACAGCATCCATATCTAGTTTATAACTGATAATGGGATCTGCCAGCACAGTATAGACTGTGTATAATAGTAAAAATAACCCAGAACCTACTAAGCACTCAAACATGTTGGCCGACACTGGCACTCACAATGCTCACGCAAAAATACCCAAATGTTATTCACCGTAGCTGCAATTACAAAATTAATTTCTATGAGCACCATCCTTATGTTAATTGTTATGCTAATAATTTATGCAAACCATTGCTTTGCAAAAGGTTTTTGTTACACTCTCCACTGGAGCGATTTCCCAGAACTACCTATCCCTGAGATACGCTGTTATCAAACATGACATGAGAGCCAGCAACAAAAACTTGAGGTTTTAACCCTTCTCTACTCTAGCCCAAAAAAGAGAAGCCTATAGTATTGCATCATTTTTGCTATGTTTACCTTTATAAGGCAAGCTTATAAATTTAAATATAGGAAAGAAAGGATGACAACAAACCTTGAACTCAAATTGCTGAGGCCAAACCTCTTGGCTAGATTCTGCAGCATTTTAACAGGGCTAGTTTCTTCACTAACATATTTGCTCTTTTTGGACGGCTTTGTTTTGCCCTTTTTTTTGTCAATGTTCGCACAGATCTGGCTGTTCTTGTACACCTCATAGGCAGACTTGCCTTTGCCATCCTCATGAAAGTGAATCTTCTGGAAATCTGAAATGATGTTATCTTGATTTTATGAGGTTGAGTGAAAATCACTCACCTCATAGTTCCCCTTTAAAGATTATTTCATATACTTGGTACCTGCAAATTATTTATTACAGGTCCGCTGGGAGAAAGACAGCGCAGGAAGCTTTGTCAGCTTTTACAGAATCGCCCTGACAGACTCACTAACCCCTGGGTGTTCGTAAACCAATGATGGTATCAAAGGAGGGCCCACATGTGCCCAAAACACTAGTTTGATATGCTTAAACTGAATATTAGAGTTGGGCAGGTTTACCATTGACTTTGTTAAACATTATTTAAATTTGCACATCCGAGTGCCTCAGGCTTCAGGTGTCCCACAGTGCTGGAAAAAGGCATTCAATGGTATGTACATAGTCATCTGAGGTTATTGCTGCTAAGTAATTAAAAGGTTTTCTAAAGTAGTAAAACAACTAGGACCAAAACACATATTTACGCTGTAGTAATGTGTAGGTTATCACAACGCATGTCATTTTTAATGGCACCACAACATAGTAAAGCAACGCAGCTCCAATGCACACGTGCTACAGCACTGTGTGTTCTGGTGTGCTAAAAAATGGTGCATGTAATTTTGTGCTGCGTTGTCAGCCCCTTACTGAATGTTTTGCCTTAAAGAAGAACTCCAGAAAAAAAAATTTATTAACCCTTGCAGTGGGGCTGCCCCTGTACTGCAAGGGTTAAGTGTTCATTTTTGTCTAGGTTAAAAAAATGTTATACTCACCCAATGTTCTGGACCAGCTTTTTTCTTGTTTCCCAGAGCCTCTCTCCTTCTCCTCTACAGCGGTCTAAGCTCTTATAAATCATCATGCACAGTGTAGAGACGTGAGGATGCTGAGGAAGTTTACAATGCTGCTGTAGAGGAGGAGAGAGGCTGGAGAGAGCGCTGTAACAGTTGGCCAACTCTGAGCTTCGGGTAAGTATAACTTTTTTATTTTAGCACCTGGACAAAGATGAGCACTTAACCCTTTCAGTGTGTAAATATATATATATATATATACACACACACACATACACACATATATACAAACATATATTTATTACATCTCTCGTTTCTTTAGATTAGGCCTTTGGGCAGACTACAAGCTATTCTGAAGAATTTAAAAAGAAATTGGCGGGACAAAGTGGGGTTTCCCTCAGTAGCATACAATGCACCACCCAAGCCTCAAGATCTTTAACCCTTTGGTAGGACAGACAGCATCCATATCTAGTTTATAACTGATAATGGGATCTGCCAGCACAGTATAGACTGTGTATAATAGTAAAAATAACCCAGAACCTACTAAGCACTCAAACATGTTGGCCGACACTGGCACTCACAATGCTCACGCAAAAATACCCAAATGTTATTCACCGTAGCTGCAATTACAAAATTAATTTCTATGAGCACCATCCTTATGTTAATTGTTATGCTAATAATTTATGCAAACCATTGCTTTGCAAAAGGTTTTTGTTACACTCTCCACTGGAGCGATTTCCCAGAACTACCTATCCCTGAGATACGCTGTTATCAAACATGACATGAGAGCCAGCAACAAAAACTTGAGGTTTTAACCCTTCTCTACTCTAGCCCAAAAAAGAGAAGCCTATAGTATTGCATCATTTTTGCTATGTTTACCTTTATAAGGCAAGCTTATAAATTTAAATATAGGAAAGAAAGGATGACAACAAACCTTGAACTCAAATTGCTGAGGCCAAACCTCTTGGCTAGATTCTGCAGCATTTTAACAGGGCTAGTTTCTTCACTAACATATTTGCTCTTTTTGGACGGCTTTGTTTTGCCCTTTTTTTTGTCAATGTTCGCACAGATCTGGCTGTTCTTGTACACCTCATAGGCAGACTTGCCTTTGCCATCCTCATGAAAGTGAATCTTCTGGAAATCTGAAATGATGTTATCTTGATTTTCTTCTATTTTTTCTTTGAAGACAAATCTGGGTTTGTGACCGTAGACCAACATGTCACATGTGTCAGTGTACACAAACTGCAGGATGTAAGTGAAAAGCCCTGGGGGGACTTTCTCAATGACAATCAGATCATGCCCTGCTGAATCCTCTCCATTATGGTAGAGATCTTGAAAGTCAGCTTGGTTACTGTCCCCTGAAGAAAACAGCTTGCGGAAGTAGTCGCATTTCATGGACAGTATGTATTTGTGTGCAGGAAATGTCTGGGAACCCACCAGGAAAGTCACATCGTGAATGTTGTCCAGCTCGTCAACTTCTTCAAGCAGTTTACCAAAATCTTCAGCAAAAATTGAGGAAGACACCACAGGGACTTCAAAAAGGCTAGAAAGCAAAATAAAAACACCAGCTTTAAATCTGCTTATTTGCCATTTCAGAATCATAATTTTTACTGAGTTTTATTCCCCATAACCACATCAAATATGACATTAAGCGTCCAGGATAACAGCTAAGCACGCATCCTAAAAACACAGACCTGGACATTTTACGGCCCGTGGGCTGGTTTGTCTGTCCCTGTCCGGCCTGTGGTCTGGACACAGACCAATCGCCGACCTGTGCTTATTTACGGCTGGCTCACACTGGATGTGCCAGCCTCCAAAGCCATTGTGTCCGCTGCAAGCCATAGCCCAGCAAAGGTCAGCGATTGGTCCATGTCCAGATTGTGGTCGTTTCAGTCATTGACAAAGATGTCAGGGGTCCTTCTCTTCCTCTGCAGTCAGTGACATCAGGGATCCTCCTTTTCTGCACTCATTGGTTGCTAGGAGCGCCGGGGGTCCTAGCAACCAGTGTTGTCAAATGTATTCCTGCCCCCAGCATTCCAGGAGGATGGAAGAATATCTTCTTCCATCCTCTCCAGAGCTCCACCTCCAGGCTCCTGCCTCTGGCCTATCAAGAAAAAGAAATTGAGGCCGCATATTTGGGGACAATAAGCAGGGATCTCAAGTCTCCCTGATGTTCAGGGAGTCTCCCTCAATTGGACAGCAGCTCCCTGACGTCAGCGAGAGAGGCATTTTCTCCCTGAAAGGTTTACTCTGAGTAAACCTTTCGCTTGGCTCTGTCTCAGAAGGAAGAAGCTACTTGCTGCACAGAGAGGGCAACATATACTACTATTGAGAGCAGGTACAGGCACTGAGATCTACTGCGGCAGGGTTGAGAGAGTGCAGTTAACCCTTTGTGGATAATATATTATCAATTATATGTCCTGGTTGTCTAGTTATAGAGAACATTTATTTCATTTGCTGCCCATAGCAACTAGTCAACTGTGTATCAGGGACTTGACTCCTCTGGGTTTTTATATTCGGACGGCGGCTGCTGTAAAAAAACAAAAAAAAACAGAAAGGGCACCTCCCTGAAATGAGAAGGGAACCTCCCTGAAATAAGGTTTTGCAGGTTGGGATGTCTAAATAAGGCTTCAGCCTTCATTTTGTTAAAAGAGAACTATGGCCATAGTTCTCTTCAGGGTCAGAGGAGGACATATATAGTAATGTTCTCCTGTGACCCAAAACGCAGTATTTAGTGGGCTATTGCAGAGCCATGCCGCAGCTCGAACTGATGCCGACAATACTGTCGAGATCCAGCTGATTGACAGCTTTCTCTGACTCTAGAGGCAGAGCCAGCTGTGCCCACCCACTCCCCTGTCCGTTCCTCCAGTCAGCGCTTCAGAAACTGAGAGGCGAGTGGGGGAATCCCTGTGGGGAACGGTGACTTGACAGACACCGCTCTCTGCAGGGAAAGGATTGGGACGTCAGCAATCGGCGGTATGTGTTCACTGACTGCCCAATCAACAGAGCCGACCTGTGACAGCTTCTATGTCACAGGCCGGCTTGAATCCTTCCTTAAATATTTGGGGGGGGGTTTCCCACCTACATCACCACTGCCCGAAACAGATTTGTTTTGAATGAGTGAGGTGAGGTTGGGAAAAATATACTTTGTAATAAACCATGAGACGTGAAATCCCAAATAATTAATACAGACACAGCCTGAATATGGCACATCCAGTCCGTTAGGGGTTGCGGCAACTAATCTATGGGTATGAGGGTAGACTTGTTCCAGTTTATCAATGGGCCAGAATAATGACCAAAGTTCTCAATTATAGACCTGGCATTAGGGAAAGAGGTGTTCATCAGCCGGGAACGACAAAGTGCCAGCTGCATACAATGCATGTATATCCTCTTGACCTTTTACAAAGCCCACCACTTCAGTAGACTGTATTATAAGGAGCAGAGGCTCAATTGCCAGTGCAAGTAGTAAAAGGAGATAAGAGGCAGCCAGCCCTGACACATAATGCGCTGAGGGGAGAAGTCAGTCTAACATAAGCCTGGAGATGGACATAGAGATGTTGTACCCATTTCAAATAGTTTGGACCAAACCCAGATTTTCTAAGTACACCCCATAGATAGAACCACTGCACACTATCAAAGCCTTTAGCCACAGAAACAGCCAACAGAGCTATAATGCCTATATTATACAAGTGTGGGGGTGGGAGTGTAAGAATTTCCCATTTGTCTAGGTCAATTGCAAGGGGGTGTTAGGAGCCGGGGTTACTTTCTGCTTGGCTGCACCTGCTCCTTCTGCCTCCCTCCCACACAGCCACTCTCCCACTTCCCTGGATCGATGCCAATTGTTAGGTAGCAGGCCAGCCCTGGCAGCATGGCACTCACTACCACTGGCTAACGGCGCCCTACTCTGGTGGCATCCTTATTGCTAGGCCCCATATGTCTAGCCTCTTTTGCTGCTACTGGTCCATGGCATTGTGGAGCTCTATTTTCATAGGTTTTTGCTTCCTGGCCCCTGACCTGGCTCTGCTTTGCCTGGACTGCTCACCCTGCTTTTGACCTTTGCTTTGGCTATCTTTAAACTGCCGCCTGACTTGACCGCAGTTTGGATAACACCTACTCTCTTGGATTGCTACCTGCCCTGACCCCTGCTAGGATAACGACTACTCTCTTTGATCTACGTATTCACTCTAACTTGTGGGTTACTGGGTGGGGTCTTTGTTCTCCGAAAATAGCTTGCTCCTTAAGCCCCGGCGGCATCGGAGTATCACTAGGAATACTGCGCCTTATAGAGAAGGCGGCTGCTATAGGTCAGACTTTGCATATGCTCAGCTATTTACAAAGAACTACACCCTAAATGGTATCCCTCAGGGTGAAACTGCCCAGTGTTCTAGGCTTTAGAAGTATATAATGAACAATAAAATCCCATAATAGTCTATAGAACAGGTAAAAGCAGTTTGTCAGCTAGAAGAACCTCAGTGGAAAAAGGAGGAACATAAATATTAGCTATAACACATTTAACAGCATAAACAGTACAATGCACAAAAAGGTACCATCCCTGTTTGTTGGCCTGAACATACCTGCAGGAGAACAAAACACTACGATCAATGAGAATATTAAACCCCCTAGAATAAGAGGAGTAATGAGAATAGATTGAATATTGAAAATTCCACCTATTCAGAAGTTTGAAAGTCTATGCTGTAAGTTGGGTCTCAGAAAACAGTTTACAGCCAGTTTGTGTTATAGTAATTAATCAAAAACAGCATTCCTCTTGACAAAGTCAATTGGTAAATTTAATACAAATACGGAGATATTTGTGAAACTCATGTGATTGGCCCCCTTTGCAAGTGTGAATAGGGCCTAAACATTTTATAAGGACATAACCTTTAATATCCACATAAATCTTTAAGATACTTCAAATAAAATAATGTTACAATTTACTATCAAAACACAAAAGCACTAACAATAACTTACTTTATCCGAGTATACCATTACATGCTATTCTTACAAGATTTCCAGATGAGTAAGCAATACCCCTTAGGAATCAATCATTCTGTTTATTCTCTTAACTCACTGCCTTTATGTATGCGGTTATTTATAAGAGGAGATGAAAACGCTGCTTGGTAGCAAACTTTTTTTTCCTTCTAGGGTTAGTGTTAGCCACTATGTGCTGTCATTCCTGTATATTTTTTTTTCAAACTTCCATGCTCACATATAGTGGCTATACATATATCCATATACTAATTTTAGCCTTTGACATATATGCTTTATTTTTATGAAACCTGAGAAAAAAAAAATCCAAATCGGGCTTGAAACACGGTGACAAGTTATGCAATATGTGAAGTTCCAAAGAAGTTATGATCATACTCACAAACATCAGATCAAGACTATCAAAAAGAGAAAGAGAAATTCACTTGATGTACATACAAAGCACAAGAATGTACATCTTATAAAAAGAACTGTGTGTTCATTTCAAGTGAAGTCTGAACTCTTGCATAAGAGAGTTTTCACCCTCCTCTCTTAGAAATTGAGCCTTATAGCTTTTTATTGACCTTCTATATCTTCTGTTAGCTCTGCATAAAATTCCCCCCCTTCTCTCTGTATTATCTTACAAATCCTTAACACACCGCAATAAATCAGACCAGCTTATGTCAGACTTTGATGTGTGTATTGGTCACCAATATCGCAATAGTCTATCATAATTTGAGCCCACTGGTTAATGGTAATAGCACCTGCATTCCAAATTTATTTCCACGACAGGTTAATTTGACACAAGTTTCAGGTTTCCAAAAATCACCTTTTTTATCTGTGCAGTTTTTCTTCTCACACATCCACTTTCCAGTAAACCCTTCACCTTCTGGAGTGATAAACAGCATTTCATTCTTATTAAGGGCAAAATCAGACATAAACACTTGGCGGCCATAAACCCAACGGCACTGCTTCAGCGAAGTGCTGGAAGACTTCCAGCAAAATACCTTAAAATGAGATAAATTGATGAACTTAAAGTGTAGCAGAACAAATCATGGCAAAAATTCAAATTGTTGAAAAGTCACATAAAGCGAGTTCTCCAAACTCTGAAGTACCCAGTTTTTTACTTCAGCTGCCAGCACTGACCAGAGCAGTAGGAGAGCGAAAGATACATATATGCTTGTTGAGGGTGATGACATTAAAGAAAACCTGGGGGTGGGGTTGAGAGTTAAGACAGCAATTTACAGGCCAAATGCTAGGGAAGTTTTAGGGATCTATTTATCCCTAAGCTGTTAACTGTGCGAACGAGATTTGCTGCACTGCATGGTTACTAGATGGACCCAAGGATCACAGAATACCCCATGTTCCTTGAACTCTACCTAGTATCCAAATAGTGCTGCAAATCTTGTTCACATAGTGTACAGCTGTGCAAGTGGTTTACTAATGAGCCTCTAAGGCTGCAGTCACATGGGGCATTCTGGAAGTCCTGCGGCAAGAGCCTATGTATTCTTGCGGTTGGAATCCCAGATGTCCCCCCCTCAGATACACCCGCTGTACCCATTGAAGTTATAACGAACTAAACCCAAACCTTTTTTTTTGGTACTTTAGTCCTCGTTTGGGTCAAAGGTGCAGAGCCACGCTGCAGCCAGAAAGGATTGCGACAATATTGTTGGGATCCACCCTGCTGCCTGATTGGCAGTTGGCTCTGCCTCTCTAGAGTCAGCTGTGCCCGCCACCTCCCCTGTCTGTCCCTCCAATGAGCTCTGGAGGAACAGAGAGGGGAAGGGGGAATTCCTGAGGAGAGCGGTGACTGCCTCCGACAGATGTGCCTGCTGTCATCCTGTCATTACTTGATAGGGCACAGCAGATACATCTGAATGGGGTCACCTGGGATTCCTACTGCAAGAATCAGTAATTGTCACAGGACTCCCAGAATGCCCCATTTAAATGCAGCTTAAGTGTCAAAATGAGAGCTCTGCGTTAAATGTTATGGCTTTGCCAAGGGGAGAATTAAATGTGGCGTTACTTAAGTGTAGGGACAGTTTTTTGATTAAACATAGCAATAACTTAAACATTTTGGATAGATTTAAAAACCTGCACCTGGCCGTAGTGTTCCTCAGTGAACTCTGACAACTGCTGTGTTCAGGGGGGTACTACACCTACACCTCAATAAAAAGTTGTCAAAAAGTATATAATGAGATTCTCCTAAATGTTCTAAACAAATTCTGAAAAGGATTTCTTTTTATTTATTTTTTTTAAAGGCCAACTTTCACTTTAAAACAAAACAGCAAAGTCCCCTAGAGAACAGATCTCTATTAGGCATGTAAAGGTCTAAATGCATACATACTCTTCCAGCTTGATCCAAGGCAAGTATACTAACAGACTGGCCACCATTTTCTTTGAGATGCTGCGTATCGGCTTTTTGATCCAAATATCCTCCACAAACAAGAACTTTTTTTAAGTTTAGTTGCCTAAAAAAGAAAAAAAAACAAAAAAAAAAACCTGTTCACCGCACTTCCAACACACAGCACAGATTTGTAAAAAGGTATATAGAAATATCTCACTTTGATGCTAGCTTCTTGCACTGGTACTCTGTAAGAAGGTATAGGTCTCCTCTATCAGTAACACAGACTGTAGCTCCATTACTAGCAGCCACAAGAGATATACTAATGTCTTTATGGTGCAGAGCAGAGACTTGCCGAGGACTGCTGACAAGCTTTTCTCCATTGGGATCTACCAGGTATCCTAGAAGAAACAAACCATTAGCTTTTCATGACACCGATGAAGATGGAAATCGGTTGTCATAGAAATATACAGGGACTGCCACTGCAAGCTGTTATGTTAACTCCTGGCATCAATACATTGAGTCGCTGACCCAGAAAAAGCCAAAGATACAAGACATCCTTAACTGCATACAACCCCCCCACCTCCAATCAGTAACACAAAGTATTAAAAGCAAAAGGGTTAAAATGACAGCCAGGGAGCCTTTTTCAGGTGAGGTCAGTGACGGTAGCATCCTTCGTGACAGGTGTCATTTAAACAGAAAAAGCAGTAAAAACATTTGTACTGTGACCAACGACTGTACAAAAAAAAGTCTCTGGTAGGATTACATACCTAATTGACCTCCATTTAGTCCCATTGTATACACTGCATCTCTACTCCACAGGACAGTGTGAAACCTTCCAGCAGTCACCCCTATCACTGATTTGCCTTTCAAAGTTTTGGCTTGAACCTGTTGAAACAAAGAAAATTACTTACAAAAAAAAAAAAAACAACCAAACTTAAAGTTGAACTCTAGACAAACCGCTAAATACACAGAGCAAATACATATATAGGAGCTGTCTAACATGCCAAGGATTTGTATTTCTGCCAATCCAGACCTGAGATTTACTCAGCTCTGCCACACAGTATAGCCAGCCCTGACTTTTCTCTGCTGCAGTTAACCACAAAAGCTAGGTCACTTCCATGCCCCAACCAGTGACCCATGTGTAAAAAGCCCAATAGGAGTGTCAAGCAAAAGGTCTGAGAGTCCAAAAGCTTTTAAAATTGATGTTTAAAAAACAAAACCATAGAATAGCCAACACGTTTTAAATACCCCCCCCATTCCTCAGGGCTTAGAATTAGATAGATTTGAGGACTTAAACTCATGGTCAGGGCGAGTGAATCAATGGATCAACAACAACCCGCCCTGTGAATGGGCAGTGAAGTGGAAGCAACAGACCGAGGAGATCATCTTTCTGCACTCTACTCTTGTCAGCATGTGTCTTGTTGGCCCATGTAAATACCATACACCTGATTGAC